TAATGTCAGTTTTCGAAAAATAAAAAAAAATTTGTATGTTTCTGTAAAAAATAAAAAATTATTGAAAAAATAAAAGCATGCAATACTTTTGTTCCTCCCGGTATATATTGCGATAAATAACTTGTTAGCTCTGAATTGATAATTTTAGAAAGTATTATTTAAAGTAATATATCTCATAAACAAATATTCAGTTTTTTAAACGTACATATTAGAATTATAAAGTAATATTTTTTATTTGATATTAAAATATATTAAGTTTATGTATTTATCTTTTATTAACTTGAAATACCTCATAATCATCTATTTGAAATTGAACCTTTTGGAATATCAATATAAATATAGGAATTTGGATTATTAGCATACCAAGTATTATCAGTATTGCAATAAATATAAAAACTATCACCCTAAATATAACTAGAGTTCTGGATGAGTCAAGTTAACTTATGAGTCAGATAAGCTGAGTCAAGTTTAAATCAAGTTGAGTTTATGTTTTTTTGACTTGATGATTTGCGAGTCAAGCCAAATTCAAGTCAAGTTAAATATTTAACTCGACTTGATTTAAATTTGACTTGATTCGAGTTAATTTGAGTTGACTTGAGTTAACTTAAACAATTTTTTTATCTTTCAAGAAGAATGATGATGAATCGTTCAACTTGAATAATTTTTTTATCATTCAGAAGAATGATAAAAAATCATTCGACTTGAATAATTTTTTATCGTTCAAGAAGAACGATGACTAATTGTTTAATTTGAATGATTTTTTTATCGTTCAAGAAAAACGATGATGAATCATTCAACTTGAATGATTTTTTTTATTGTTCAAGAAGAATGATGACGAATCATTCAATTTGAATGATATTCTTTTATCATTCAAGAAGAACGATGATAAATCGTTCAACTTAAACAATTTTTTTATCGTTTAAGAAAAACAATGACAAATCATTCAACTTGAACGATTTTTTTTATTATTTAAGAAGAACGATGATGAATCATTCAACTTGAATGATATTCTTTTATCGTTCAAGAAGAATGATATTCTTTTATCGTTCAAGAAGAATGATATTCTTTTATCATTCAAGAAGAATGATGATGAATCATTCGACTTAAATGATGACTTGAATTATTCGACTTGAATGATGATCTGAATCATTCGCTCTTCTCTCTCCCTCTGATATTTTTATTTTTTTTTTAAAATTGAATTAAGTTAAAATCAAGTCAAGTCAAATTGAGTCAAATTTAAAATTTATATACCTCAAATCAAATCAAATTGAAAGATTTTATAAAATAAATTTGACTTAACTTGATTCAAAAAAAAGAGAGTCAAATAGAGTTAATCTTTAAACTCAACTTGACTCAACTCATTTGGAACTCTAAATATAACTAAAAATTGGACTATAAATTGAATCACTACATACAAAATTTTGAACATCTTTAAAATAAAGTACTTTTGCATTTTAAAGATTTGTTCTATTTACGAATAAAAAATAAAACTATCTTTGGTAGTTTTCTATTGATATTCTTTCCAACCAAATGGATTATATTCTCCCATTATTTGTTTAGTTCTATTAATTTTTATTATGACTATATTGGCACCTTTGTTATTATATTTTTAATGAAATGCTGCGATTGTATTACTATCCCTACTGGCACAATAAAGTAATTTAAAATCATAAAGCACTTTCCTTTTGACATTATTTTCTATTTTATCAATCCAACCAGAAATATAGTAAAATGTTAAGAGTTAATTAGGATTGAATCATATTTTGACTGTTTTGGTGGTTGTATATTAATATTTAATTTCTTATCTAGTGTCAAAGCCTATGCTAAGAGGTTGACGACCAAATTCTGTAGTAGTAATTCGCTAAAAGGAAGAACTTTTTCAAGAAAGTCATCTGAAGACATATGATGAAATCTAATTTAAGGGATAAATCTATGAAGAGTTCTTTCCATAATTGAAGTTACTTCATTTTTCCATTCTTTGACTATTTTAGAAATAGACGTATTCTGAGCAAAACTCACTTAATCAAACTGTCCTAAATATCAATTTCATTCAGACTTAGATCATCCCGCTTTAAAATAAATTCTAATAAAGGTGCTTTTATACTGATAAATTTATCAGAATAAAAAAGTTCTTCGGGGTCTTTACAAATTTTTTCAAGAAAAAGTTCCTCAATTTCGTGAAAGACTCTTGTTGATAAAATGTTTTAAGAATTCCTGGATTGGTTTGTAAAAACTCATGATGGTCTTTAATTAAATAATCTTCAATTTCGGGAACTAAAGATTGGAGATAAAGTGTATTTGCTGCGTTTAAGAGTTTTATTATTTCAGTTTCTTCTAATTTTGTCAAGTCAATCCTTCTGCAATATATAAATCTGAAATTCAAAGTGATATTAATAACTTGGTTTATATTATTGTCGTAGTTGTCATACTTTATTTACCTTAAGATAATTTTAAAAAGATTTGGAGGAATGTTGGTAATTTTTAAAATAAACTTTCCTTCCCTCTTTTCAATGTTTTCTTTAGTTAATTCATCAAAAAAATATGTAGACCTAAAATGTAAAATAATTGAATGCGCACGTAATTCTTTAACGTTTTTATTTTCATCGGCAAAAATAATGACATCATAACTTGTGTCATTTCAAATAACCTTTCATAATCATTAGCAACTCCCTGCAAACATTCAATGTACATTTTTTTTATTTTACAAAAAATTGAAAAAGAAAACGATTAAAGAAAAAAAATCATTCAAGAGGTTATATTAATTTGGAACTTGTAAAATTCATTTTACTAAATTTAAAGATTTACATGCATAATTGTAGAGCGTAACCATTTTTAAGTTTTCGTGTAATTAGATGATCTTTTTAAAGTGACGAACGGATGATGACTGCTAAAACTCTGGGTTTTTCCCAGAAACCTTAATGGATAATTTTTTGCCGCATGTGTTCTATTTTTGGCGTTATTAGCACAGCAAAAACAGATCATATGGTTAAATTTGTTTATATTTGGGCATATCATAAAAAAGAAAAACACTTTTTGGATTTTCCTTAAATAATGCTAGTTGATTATTTCATTCGGGTATATTTGAATGAAGAATTTTTTTTTTTTTGTCTGAAGCATGAGGACAATCAAATACTAGGACAATTCAATGACAATGTCATTCTGTCCTGCATATTGATCACCCAATAGAATTCTGAGAATTAAAAAAATCGAACACAATAAAAAATTGAACATAAATTAAATAAATTATTGATTTTATTATAAGTCCTGTTATGCTTCGGACTAGAATGATCACTGTTCCCTAGTTTTATCTAATTAATAAAACCTTATATATTTTGACAAATACTATATAATTTATCATAATGTATAACGGAATAGCTGGTATATATTCTTAAATAGAAAATTTTTTAATTCTTTGAATACGAAAGTTGGCAAGTTTAAATTTTTAATTCTTACAAATTTAGTTGGAATTGATTTGGGAATGTCATATTCTTGTGTCGGAATTTGGCAGAATGAAAGATTTGAAATTATTCCCAATGACCAGGGTAATCATATGACACCATCATATGTCACATTCACTAAAACAGAACGTCTAATCGGTGATGCTGCCAAAAATCAAGTTAACATGAACTCTTACAATACTGTATATAGCACTAAACGTCTCATTGGATGTAAGTTTAATGATCAGGAAGTTCAATCTGATATGAAGGTAAAAATTATATGATACGATCTTACAATGCATTTATAATTCTCATTTTTTATTTTATTTTTTTTTAGCACTGGCTATTTAAAGTTATTGATAAGAATGGAAGGCCATATATTCAAGTAGAATACAAATACGAAAAGAAGGATTTCACACCCG